AAAAAAAAAAAAAAACCCAGATTAAGTTCTAAGTGAGTTCAACTGTCACTCACTGAGACTTTGAACTTTGGGGAATTGGATGGCTCAGTAATCGTCAGGCTCCCAGTCCCAAGTATTACGCAGGTCAACCTTGACTGCAGACCCATCGCTGCTCAAACACACTGAGTCGGCAAGAAGCGATCGCATCCTCTCTTCATCCACAGGCAAGCGGTGCAGTCTGGGATAAGCAAGGAGTCTCTGCAGGGGGACGAAAAACCTACTCCCTTCACAGAAGGGCTTGGGAGAATTCTCTATCCTGGCTTTTTCGGCCTCTGTGAAGAGGTCCAACATCAGGCTGGGGGCCACGGATGGCTCCTTTGGCACAGTCCCCGCTCCCCTCTTCTGTTCTCGCAGTGTTCGCAGATGCCACAGTCGCAAGCGTTCCACTTGCAACAACACTTCACTGACCAGTTCAAATTTGAGCACCCTTTCCTGCTGTAAACTTGGGTAGGAGACTGTATAAACCTGAAGGGAAAGAAGCAACTCATGTGGGACACAGAAAATTTTCCAAAACCATCCATAACTCTGCCACATAAGAATGTACCTCTTACTGGATTATACCCAGGTACGTATCAGATAGGGTCAGACATTCATGGGAAACACCTCAGTTATAATGGGACTCAAACTACTCACACACTGATGTGAACTATCTCATTTGTTTTCCAATTCTAATGGCCAATTTTTCCCAGCCAGGTTTCTACCAGTGCATACTAATCCAGTACATCTCCTTCTCAGATTACATTAAGTCTCTGACATAGAACATTTGAGCTGTGAACTTTCATAGATACAATGGACCTTGGATTACAGACACTGATAGAGGTGAACAAATCACAGAGGTAGCTCCCATAGGGGCCAGGGATTTAGCTCAGCAGTGCTGCCGCATGCCTTGAAAGCGCAAAGTCCTGAGTTTGATCCCTGGTACCCAAAAAAGAAAAAGAAGTAGCTCCTGTGTCTGCCTTATCATTTTAAGTTAACTGAAACAGTAAAAATAGTTTATTTACAGTATTTGTGTGTTTTGGTTTTTATGCTTTTTTGTATGTTTGTGTCAAAGGTGTGTAAAACTCACTTTGTTGGACTTAAGAACAAATCTGTCTTATGAATGTTCTCCCGGAGACTTACTGTACAGGGAAAAGTCTGGATCTGTTGGCATGTGCCTGTGGTCCCAACCTGCTGGGAAGGCTAAGAGGATCTCTTGACCAAGGAGTTTAAGACTATTCTGCGTTAACAAAGTTAGATTCTAAAGAAAAGGAAGGAAAAGAATGAAAGAAAGGAGGATGAGACAGGAGAGAGGAAGGAAGGGAAAAAGGTTCAGCTGAGAGGCAAAACGTGTTTCTTCTGGATGATTCGTTTCGCATGTCTGTGTGATATGCACGGGCACACCCAAAGAACAGGGCATGCCAAGCAAGTGCTGTACCACGAGCCACATGCCCAGCCCTTTCTGAGACAGAGTCTCACTAAGTGGCCCTGAGTCTCACTAGGGAGGCCTTGAACTTGTAATCCTCCTGCCTCAGCATCCTGAGTAGCTCAAATTATAGGTATGCACCACCAAGTCCAGCTTGGTTCGCTTTTTCTTTAATGCCAATAATCTGAAGAGATTACAAATGATGTTGCCCAGTATTGCTTGGAAGTACTCTAAATCTCCAGAGCAAGACTGTTCGCATTAACATAATGTGCCTTGAGAAATGCCAAGGGGCTGAGCCGTATCAAAGGACACAGTAGACCGACTCTACCAGGAGTTGTGGGCCATGATGGATTTTCAAACTGACACTCAAAATAAGGACATTCAAACTCATCTCTATTTTGGGTACAAGTCCAAGAAAACAACAAGTTCACCATCCTAAGCAACAAATGATTTGCCCCGAGTGCTGCCTCACCAAGAACACTTACAGCTTTATAAACATGCTGATCGTGCTGCTGTGAAACACAGGGCCCTGGTGCCCCCCCGCTGTTTCTCCAGAAGACGCCTATCTGGGTACAGAATCCAACATGCTCCGCACCAGCTGGCGGTTTGCCTACTCCAGTAAACTCCACAGAGTAATTGTAGCGATTTGCCACTTGTAAAGCCCTGGAATAAAAATGAAAGAAACTGTTTTTCGAAGCATACAGCCACGTTTAAATAACTTGCTAATAATTACTGTTAAGTAAATTCCAGCCACTCGGGTTTTGATTCTCAGCTCGTTCCCAAGGCCAGGATGCGTCCTTGTCTCTGGGGTCCCTGTCACACTCCTGCATCTTCACAACAACCTCCCATGTTTTATATAAGATAAAGTTGGCTTTTATTTGGAAGACAATGGAAAAATGGAAAGCCAATTTGCAGACAGGTCCTTCTGGTCAGAGCAGCTGTTCTTTTGTTTCTGTGGCACCACTGATTGAACTCAGGGCCTCTCCTCCCAAGTCTTGGTTATTTTTGGTGGCAGGGGCAGGTACCCAGCATCAAATTCGAGACCTTACACTTGCAAAGCAAGCAGCAGAACCACTGAGCTAAGGCCTCAGTAAGTCACTAAATTGCCCAGGGGGCGCTCAAACTTGCAATCTTCCCACTTCAGCCTCCACAGTGCTGGGATCACAGGTGTGTGACACAACGCCCAGCTAGAAGAGCTGTTTGTTGATATTCAGGCAGAACACAAACTTTATGTTGCCACTATAAAGAGAATGACCTGACATTCACATGTATGTTAAAGATCGAGACATATATCAGAATGGATATCATTAAAAAAAAATCCCAGTCAGTGGTAAGAATATGAAAAATATGAATTAAAATACTTCCACATTACACGCTCCTATACCATCACAGAATGCTGTGTCACAGGGTTCGCTTAGTGTCTAATGAGGAACACAGGCAGTGACACCACGTCAGTTCCCAAGTTACCACGAGGATATGGAAGAGAAAAGTTATGGGGCACTCAGAGTGAGGGGCTGCACAAGGAGACCACAAAACTGACAGCCTCGACTAACTGCCTATTTGAGTTTACAATTACACCAAAAGTGCGAGCAAGCCCACGGAGCTACCTCTGGACATGGGCCTGTGACTCACGGCACAGCCCCACACCCTGCCTATTCTCACTGCCAACACTACACATGCCTTCACCTGCACAGCACCTGGTGCCCACGCGTCCTTTCCACAGCTGTCCAGATGGAGTAGTTCCCTTATGACTTTACTACATAGTGCATTACACACTGGGAATTTATTAGAATAAAGAATTTAGACAGGATATACATAAACCTTTAGGTTTTCTTCCTGGGACTTTAAACTCCAGTAAGATTTCCAAGAACCAACCAAACAAAAAACCTCCTCAACTTACCACGTCTGAAACTCCATTCTGTTCCACTCAAATTTATGGTCTGCATCCCTTAGAGTCACTATGGGAAACAGGGGGTTGAATTCAGAATTTGGTGTGCTGATGACAATCATGGCTGGAGACAGGTACCCAAACACCACTTCAGGAAATCTGGCCAGATGGTCTGAATCCAAATGCTCTATTCTAAAATGGTTAATGGGAAAGCTATTACTAACGTAGCTTAACTGCGAAGTACTTTCCTAACTGAGTGCTGTAGCTCAACAGCAAAGCCTCTGCCTAGCACACGAGTCCCTGGATTCAATCTCTAGCACTACAAAAAGAAAAAAAGGGGGGGGATTAAAGAGCAAATAAAACAGAAATACTGAGCAGACCTGTTCCAGATTAAAGGATACCCAACAGACATGACAATTTTAAATGTCTGTGTGATCCTGGACGGTTTTAAATTCGAGCTAAATTTCAAAATAGCTACAGACATTACTGGAACTGATGGATTTTAAGTATGGATTGGACATTACATAATAATACTGTGTCACTGTTACATTTCCTAATTCAGTATACAATGGTTATGGAAGAGGAAATATTTGTTCTTGGAAAATATATAGAGGTATTTAGGGGTAAAGAGATAGTGTCTCTAACTTGCTCTCAAATGGTTCAGAAGAAAAGCACATACAGAAAAAATGCCTATGTAAATGGGGTGAAAGATTAATAACTGGTGAATCAAGGGAGTTCCTTGTACCATTCCTGCAACTTCTTTATATTTGCAACCCTGAGTATTAGTGAAAATGAGTCTGACAAAATACTGCTGACATCCTAAGTCAGTATGCCCTAAAAACTCTAGACATTGACAAAACTTTTTCATAAGGACTTGCGCTTCAGACAAACTGGAGCTATGTTGAATAAGATGCAGGAAGATAATCTACTCAGCCACACTTGAGCGTCTCTATTTTTCACAACACTAATAGGCAGAGGTATCATGACCTTTCAACCAGTTATAGGAAGCAGCATTGAAAGTAAAGTGATCATCTGTTAATCAGTGTCCAAGATGTCAAATCTAGTGATCCCTCCAGTCTTCATCCCATTTGGCTTCTTTGCATCATCGGTGCAAATACTACATATATCAAAAATTGCAGTTACAGCATACCATGATTAAAGGGAAAGTGACTGCTTTACCACACTTTAGAAAGTAAGATGGGGCTGGGTTCAGTTCAGTGTAGTGTGCCTACTTAGCCATGAGTAAAGCCCTAGTTTTAATCTCTAGCACTGCCAAAAAGTATGTAGATACAACAGAAACTCATTCCTATATGGGTGTGTGTGTGTGTGTGTGTGTGTGTGTGTGTGTGTGTGTGTATGACCATTCTGCCTGCCTGGGGTTCCTCACCATACTCAGTAAAATAAAGGCCACACGTATACTGTATAATACAAAAGTATACATACACAAATTTCTAATACATGAATATGCATGCTTTGTGAAATATATCCATTTGTAAATAAATATATTTTTCTTTTAAAAAGACTCAGAGCAGCTGCAACTGTACCTATGGATATAACACTGCAAGGGTAGTACAACAGAATTTGGTTTCTGAGTGACTTCAAGGAGCCATGCAATGGCAAAACATGGACTACTCAGCTCAGGACTATTTTCTTCATTTATCTGAGGCTCTCTTTTAGCAACCCAAACCTGCACCATAACCGAAGGTGATATCAAAATTAAAAATATATGCAGGGCCTGCCTGGCAAGTACAAGGTCCTGAGTTCAATCCCCAGGTACCAAAAAAGTAAAAATACACATGTCCTTTGACCTAGCAATTTTATATCTAGAGGTTTACTCTACAGATTTACTCGCATATGCAAAAACGCCATATACACTAAGCCAGGCAACAGCAATCAGGTCATTCCGAATACTCTTAATATGACACTGGTCAAACACATTGTGATGGCTCAGATCTAAAATGTCCCCTAAAACTCTCCTGTGTGTGGAAGGTGACTGGACTATGGGGGTGCTATATCCAGTGGATTCATCCATTAATGGGTTTAGTAACTGAATGCACTGTCAGGAGGTAGGGCCTGGTTGAAGGTGAGTCGCTCCAACCAGCTATGACCTAGAAGGGTGTATGCTTGTGCCCAGCTCTTCCCTCTGTCTCTGCTTCCTGACTCCCATGGGCTGAACATCCTTCCTTCTGCCATCCTATTTCTGCCTTAGAGCCTGACAACCACAGACTAAAACCTTCAGCCAAAATAACAAACTTCTCCTCCTTTAAGACGCAGGTGTCAGGTATTATGTCCAGCAACGTAATGTGACTAAGACAGATATTGGCAGGGGCTGTTGCTGTGATCACACCATTTGGTTCTGAAGCCTTTGGAACCAGCTTGCAGGAGTTTAGAAAGATTTGGAGATTCTGGCAAGAAGTTCCATAAGCAGAGCTTGACACGAGATTCTGTTTAGAGCTCAGAGGACAAATCTGGACTCAGGAGGTGTCAGTTGGGAATGGGACTCTGTCGTGGTTTATATCCAGATGCCCCTTCCACCCAAGAGCCTCATATACTCAGAGGCAGGGGTTCGGAAGGTGACTGGATTTTGGGAGGTGAGGTCTGGCTGGAACAGGTGATCAATGGGGGTGTGGCTTCGAAGGGTTTATCTCCCTCTCAGCTCCTCTCTTGACTCACTCTGCTTTCCCACCACCATGCTGCTATGAGCACCTTGTCTCCCACCATGTCCTGGGCCATGCCATCCTGCCTTGGAGCCAGCTGACTGTGGACTGTAACTGTGAGCCAAAATAAACTTATCCTCCTTTAAATTTTGAGTATTGGCTTTTGTGTCTCAGCAATGAGAAAAGTGACTAAGACAGATTTCAGCGACAGTTGGACTACAGCCACGTGTTATACCCTGGCCAAAAAAAAAAGTCTTTATTTTGGCCATATCCTGAGATTCTGAAGGAAACTGAGTTTAAGAATGGTGGGCTAATTAATCTAGTAGAAGAAATTTCAAAGCAGCCCTACATGCAGCCTGTGGCATGGGTATCACTGGCTGCTTTTCGACAGACATATAATGAAAATCAACAGCAAAAAAGATGTGAAAAGTTTACAGTCTGATCAGAAACAAAGAACCTGTAATGTTGGGCCTTGGAGAGCAAGGTTGCTAAAAAGATTAGCATTAAAAAGAAGGTAAGCCAGGCGTGGTGGCACACGCCTGTCATCCCAGCACTCTGGAGGCTGAGGCAGGAGGATTGCTGTGAGTTCAAGACCAGCCTGGGCTAAATAATGAGTTCCAGGTCAGTTTCAACTACATAGTGAGACACTGTCTCAAAAAAAAAAAAAAAAAAGGGGTAAATACTTTGCATCAGGACAACAGGAAAGATGGTTTGAAGTCATCACAGGAAATAGCAAGACCCCACCCTTCAGAGGCTCAAAAGTCAAAGGTCAAGGGCAAAACTGTAAAGCTTTTGTTTCAGAAGAGAACCCCTGGCCCCCTGCTCTAGAGGGGCTGCCTAGAAAAGTGGTTCCCCAGAATTCATTTCATAGTGCTCACCCAACCAGGCATTCAGACCCATGTGTAGGCATAAGGAGGCCTAGTTACTGCTAGAGCTGGCAGGAGAACCTAGCATTATCTGCATAGTGCTGATTATATAGGCATGCAGAATGCAAAAGTTATGTGGTGATGGAAGCTTCCACCTAGATTTCTGAAGAAGGCCTGAGAAGCCAAGGAGTGTACACCTAAGAGGGCAGTGCATGAAGCTGTGAGGGTGAAGCCAAAAGTGCAGTAGAGACCCCAAGAGGTTCACAATGCTAGGAACATGGAATGTCTGCTGAGGAAACCTACAGGTAGTAAGCAGAGCCACTGGGAAAGGCCGTGAGGGTTGCGACTGACAATGCAAGACTGGGGCTAACCCACTTGGAGATCACATCTCACTACAACCTGCCTCGGGTGCTGGACATGGAGTGACCAGATTTAAAATCATTTGTCCAGCTAGGTTTGATCTTGTTTCAGTTTGATTCCTTTCTATCCCCCATTCCTCACATTGGGAATGATAATGTTTGCCCTATGTCATTGTATGTTGGAAGTATTTAACTTTCTTTTTAGTTTTTATAGGGGCACACAGCTAAGAGTTTGCCTTGAGTCTCAGATGAGACTTTTGACTTGGACTTTTCAGCAATGTTGGAACTGTTAAAACTTTGATGACTCTCAAGAGATGGACTAAATGCATTTTGAATAATAAGATGGATGTGAGTCTTTTGGGGGTTGGGGGAGAATGTTTTGGCCTAGATCTAAAATGTCCTCCAAAATTCTCATGTGTATGAGAGGTGAGCTAGACAGGTATGGTGGTGCACACCTGTAATCCCAGCACTCGGGAGGCTGAGACAGGAGGACTGCTCTGAGTTTGAGACCATCCTGGGCTACATAGTGAGTTCCAGGTCAGTCTCAACTACATAGTGAGACCCTGTCTCAAAAAAAAAAAAAAAGAAAGAAAGGTGAGCTAATCATGCAGTGCTACAGTCAGTCATCAGCGGATTCATCCATTGATGAGTTCAGTAGCTTAATGTGCTGCTAGAAGTCAGGCCTGGTTGGAGGTGGGTCACTGGGGGCATTCTTAGTTATTTTCCTCATTGCTGAGACACACTACCAGACAACCACAGCTTAAAAGAAGGTTCAACCATGATCGGACAGCTCCAAGGCAGAAACAGCATGATAAAGGGGCATAGTGGAGGAAAAGCTTATGTCAGGGCAGCCAGGAAGCAGGCAGGAGGAGCTGGGAAGATAGATAAACCTTTTAGATCACGCCCCTAGTAACCCACTTCTAACCAGGCACCACCTCCCAGCAGCACACTCAACTCCTGAACTCGCCAGGGAATGTGTCCACTGGTGGGTACAGCTCCTCCAGGATCCCACCACCTTCCAAACACACGGGACTGCAATGGGATATTTCAGACCCAAACAATAACAGGGATGACCTGGAACAATGTATTCTCGTCCCCAGCTCCTCTCTTCTGTCTCTGTTTCCTGACTACCATGGGTTGCATACCGTTTCCTCCACCATTATCCCTCTGCCATTCTGTTTCTGCATAGAGCCTGCCAACCATGGACTGAAACCATCAAATAAACCTCTCCTTTAAATTGTGAGTGTCAGGTATTGTGTCCAACAAGGGGAAAGTGACTAAGACAGATGACACTACATTCTTGTAGTAGGGAAATATGCAGCAATAAAAAAGAATATAGTCAGGCACTATGGCACATACCTGTAGTTCCAGGACTAGGGAAAGAACTGTGTAGGAGTAGCCTTAAACATATTATTTCAAAAATATAAGGGCTCACAAATAAGACATATCACAAGGACATAGGAACCAACTAGGTGGACACCCAATGGCAAAGCCTGGAACAAGCAAAAAAAAAATAGGTGGATAAATCATAAACCACTAAAAAATAGGAAATTGTATATTGATAGAGAGTAAAGGAAGGATCTTGCTCAATGGTAAAATACCAAGGGTTGATGAGTAAATGCTGGAGAATTGGAATCACAAAAAAACATCATTTTCCACAATTTTAATAGACTGAGCATTCACGATGCTAAATCTAGGTAAATTTGGATGAGTGGCAAGATATCTGCGTACAGGCTGGGGATTTAGCTCAGTGGTTCTGCTGCTTGCCTTACAAGCACAAGGTCCTGAGTTCTATCCCCAGTACCCCCAAAAAAAGACACAAAGATATCTGTGTACTGTCACTGTGTCTCCCCAGACTGCCCACAGCTGTGATAGAAAAAAAGTCAAAAACGAAACAGTAATTATACAGTGGAGCAAACATTGGGAGGATCAAACTTGACATCACCAAGGGACAGGTATACATGAAGGTAGACATTATACGTCCTCGATTGGTATGGCCTAAGGAGGATCCAAATACCTCTGCAGTGTTCTACAGTATTCCAAGCATGGGTAACCTCAATCTGACCAGCAGGAGTCCAAAATTTAAAAACACTAAAAATGAAGAATGGAGAACTAATTACATAATCCCTTGTCTTAGAAATACAAATGGAATTTTTTATCGGGGGCAAAGATCCATGATGTCTATAACCTACCTTTAATTAGTTCAGGAAAAAAATACCATCGGGGAGAGTGCACATATACAGATGATAAAGAAAAGGAGAAAAACGTTAACAAGTAAACCTGGATAAATGATATATGTGTGCTCTCAGTGCTGTTTATTTTTTGGAACTTAGCTGTACATGTGGAATTTCCAAGTTAAGTATGGAATAAAAATAAAAAGATATTCTCAACTGTTGAGCAATTTTCATTGCAAAAAATGATCATGACCCAAATATTTAGGACACAAAGATTACTAAAGCTAATCAATCCTTTCTTATTTTTTAGGATGAATAGTTAATACGGTGGAAAACTTACAACTCAATGCACGTTATCAAGTCAAATCCAAGCAAACGAGAGTCTCTTTCCACAACAGAGCCGTGATACAAGGTAACTGTCAAATCCAGATCCCGGGGTTTTACAAACTCCCCCAAAAAGGGAGACAAATGATGTCTGCAAAGAATTATTGTGTAAGTAAGAAACATTTTAAACACAACCTATTTAGAAAGTCTCAGGCCGGAGATGTGCTCAGCCTTAGAACCAGAGGTACCTAAGTGGTAGCCAGGATGCAAAAAGCCCTGAGGTTGATTTCTTAGGACCACAAAAAATTTTAAAAATTTAAAAATTCCCACTCGCTAGAGACCTCAGATCCCTTGATAGTCATCACCTACCTACACTGTTGTAAATCTGACTTGGCTTGTTCTCATCTTGATATTCTAAACCTAAGTCAAAGGGCAGCTTCCTCTCATTGTGGGAAGTTCACGGCCAGTAAGAATAAATATTTGATGTTGATCTCATTTTTAATACTGTTAGTCTTCCAGCCCGCTTTGGATCAGTGACTTTCAGCTATTTGTTCTTTAGAAGAAAAACATTCTCAAAACAATCTCCAGTGGAAGCGGAAATGGTGGCTGGAAAGGGCCAAGCACATGGGATGGCTGTGCTCTATAACCCACCCTCAGGACCGATCTGATCACAAGACCTAACCCACTCCCCAAAGACAGGCTTTGGTCCATTCAGAGCAGAGCCCCCTCACCTCGGTACCTTCTATTAGCCTTCACTACCTCAGCACCCCCACTCTGAGGGCCATACTTCCAGCACATACACCTTTGGGAGACAAACACATATAAACCACAGCACTAAGTATTACCCATTTGATTGTAATTTTTCCTCATCGATATCTACTCCAACAAGCAGTTGAATGCATGGGTAGATTTTTAGCAACCTTAGAAGCTCAGTATCACCACATCCCAGGTCTGCAACCTGTAGATGAGACAGAATGACATTCCAAAGACATTTGTAGCCAGAGAAGTATGAACTAAAAACTGGAAGTGTGGAGGGACTGTGTGTCAATAATAAAAACCATTATATGGAAAGATTTTTTTAGCAAGATTGTGTGCCCAGAACTAGAATTAATCTGACATTTTATAAGTCTGGGCAAATAACTATTTGAAGAAAGTCAAATAGAAACAGCCATTCCTACTGCAGAACTTCTATTGTCTGTATTTGATGAATAAGGGAGAAAGATTAGATACATGCAGTTCTCCCATTCAGAATCAGAATTTGAAAATCATAAGTATTCATAGTTTCATGTTTCAGCAAATAAAACTCTCTAAAGCCGGGCGCGGTGGTACATGCCAGTAATCCCAGCACTTGGGAGGCTGAGGCAGGAGGATCGCTGTGAGTTCACCTGGGCTACATAGTGAGTTCCAGGTCAGTTTCAACTACATAGTGAGACCCTGTCTCAAAAAAACAAAACAAAACAAAACAAACAAATAAACAAAAAAACCTCTGTAAAACATTACTTTTATTTTCCATATATTTATTTGACAAAATAATCACATCAAACCATATGAAATTCCATATTGAACTATGAGCGGAAAAAAAGGCCATATGAAATATTTCTGAATATATGTGGCTAAATGACTATAAAGACATAAGTGAGCTGGGGATTTAGCTCAGTGGTTCTGCCTCCTGCCTCAAGTGTAAAGTCTCAAGTTCAATCCCTGGTACAAAAAATAAATAAATAAAAGACATAAATAAATACCTCTATCTCTGTGTGCATGTGTCAGAAAGCCCCAGTTAATTAAAGCAGGGGAAACTTCTATACAAAAGAATCTTAACTAAGACTACAATATAGAGCAGGAAAAAAAAAACTTTTTTGTCTAGATGTTCACCTTACCAACATCTAATCTACAGATAAAACATCAAATACATTATGATACTGACTTGGTATATAAATTCCATGAAATCATGACTTCCTCTGAAGCTGATGAACAAGACCACTTTGTAATTTTTTTTTTTCTTTTGTGGTACAGTACTGAGGATTAAACCAGAGTCACTGTCCCATTAAGCAACTTCCCCGGCCCTGTGTTTCTTTTGAAACAAAGTCTCATCAAGTGATCCAGGTTGATCTCCATACTTGTGTGATCTTCCTGCCTCAGCCTCCCAAGTAGCTAAGATTACAGGCATAATCATGCCTCGCTGTTACCTTTTCTTTTTCTTCTTTTTTTTTTTTTCCTTTTGAATTGGGTCTTGCTATGTTACTCAGGAGTCAGAGGCCTGCCTAGACAACACAGTCAGGTCCCCATCTCTTAAAAAGATTAAAAACAAATTAGGGCCAGGGGTTTAGTTCAGTGGTGGCATGCCTACCTCAAAGGCACAAGGTTCTGAGTTTGATCCCTGGTACCAAAAAATAAGAAAATAGAGTTGGATGTGGTGATGCACACCTGTAATCGCAGCACTCTGGGAGGCTAAAGCAGGAGAACTGCAAATTCAAGCCCAGCCTTGGCAACTTAACAAGACCTTGTCTCCACAAAATAAAAAATCCTAAAAGGGCTAGGAATGCAGCTCAGTGTGAAGTCCCTGGTTCAATTCCCAGAACCACAAAAAAATGGAGTGAAGAGCAGTCAACTGCATGACCTAATCTGCAAAATGTGTTTATTTAATTTGCTCACTTTTTCTGTTGGGTCTTTTTCTAATCAATTTGTAAGCATTCTTCATGCATTACGTCTTTCTTCGGTGAGGTCAACATTTTCTTCACATCTATAGTTTAGTTTTTTTGTTTTTTTGTATTGGGGATGAAACTCAGGACCTTGCACTTGCAAGGTAGAAAGCAGAATCACTGAGCCAAATCCCTGGCCCTATAGGTTAGCTTTTGATTTTGTTCATGGTATCTCTACCACATAGACCAATCTACCATTTTTATGTAATAAAATATTTTCCTTTGATGAAAATAATTTATAAAATATCAGTAAGCAAAGCAAACCTAATAATAAATATTTATGTCCCAAGCAAAACAACATAAAAGGAAACTATGGCACAATAGAAAACTAATAAGATAAGAAGAAATAAAGAAACTATAACAAATTAAAGATCTAAAAACAAAAAATGACCAGCCATAGTGGTGCACGCCTGTAATCCTAGCACTCGGGAGGCTGAGGCAGGAGGATTGTTGTGAGTTCAAGACCAGCCTGGGCTGTATAGTGAGTTTCAGGTCAGTCTCAACCACATAGTGAGACCCTGTCTCAAAAAAACAAAACCAAAAAAATTATATATATATATATTTTGAATTCTGAAGACTTCAAGCTGGGGGACGAAAACCCTAAAGAAAATACCCAAGCCAGGCATGGTGGTACAGGCCTGTAATCCCGGCACTCAGGATGCTGAGGTAGGAGGATCAACATGAGTCTGAGGCAAGCTTGGGCTACACAGTGACTTCAAGGCCAGGTGGCATTATAAATAAGACTCTGTCTCAAAAATACAAGAAAGAAAGCAAAGACAGACAGATGGGAGAGAGAGAGGAGAAGGGAAGAGAAAGGAAAGAAAGAAAGGAAGGAAGGGAGAAAGGAAGAAAGAGAGAGAAAAAAGAATAAAATCCAAACCTCTCATTATTAGTTAAGAAACCAGGGCTGGGGATTTAGCTCAGTGGTTCTGCCACCTGCCTCGCAAGCCCAAGGGCCCAAGTTCGATTCCCAGTACAAAAATAAATAAATAAATAAAAGAAACAAGTATAACCTGGACTAGAAAACAAGTCCTCCAACTATTAGTACAATGTGAAAAAATAAGGCTTTTATAAATGCATAATGACAATATGCTTGAGAATCAAATAGCCAAAAATAAAATATCAGACCTGCAGGCTGAAAGGAATTTATATTCTCTGAAAGCCAAAGCCTGCCATTAAATTCCTAATTATGATCTCAATAGATTCTGCCTACCTCTGGCCAAGGCTATTTAGTTAATAGGTAAGAATTTTTATAAAGGCAAATCCTGGGGCAGAAAGCAAAAGCAAAAATCATGAGTCGTTTGAAAAAAAACCAGACTGAATTGTGCCCAGGAAAAACCACTCATGGCTTAAGATATAATGTTCAAAGTTGTATGAATGTAGAAAATATGAAAACAGTAAGTATTGTAAGAACAACTATACACGTAGAAAGGCAAGGGCTGGAAACACAGTTCAGTGTAAGAGTACTTATTAATGAATTTGACAAACCACTTCAGACAATAACCTTAATAGTTAAATAGCTGGAAAGAGATACCTACCTTTTTGGGTTCATGTCTACCCACTAAATCTCTCACAAACTGGTATCGCTGTTTGTATAACGGAGGTTTAAACTTAATTACCTTCTCTGGGCAAACTTCTTCAAAATTATCATCAACCACACTATCGCACTGAAAGTTTTTAAAGAAAGAGAAATTAAATGAGGGGAAAACCTATCTTTCGCCCAGTCGCTTTGAAGAACACCCTAGCTCCCTCCCCCATGCCCCTGTCCTGAAGTCAAAGGCAGCACTGCAGTTTCCTCCACCATTCACCTGCTGCCTTTCTGTAGGTGAGAACTGGGCTTGATGTTTCCTACAGTTCCCGACAGGAACACTACCACTGCAGGTCTAGTAACAGAAGTCAGCCTTCTGTGAACGGCCAAAGCCTGTGTTCCACATAGACAGAGGCTGGAAAGTGTTTGGGTAACGGATGACTTTCTGACTGAGCTTTACTCAGGCTCCTCTGTACCCTCTTAGCCAGGTTTTGGCCTCGGACCCGTGCAGTCTTTGGCCTGTGTAGCCCAGTTTTAGCAAGAATTCAGCTAAACCATTAGGATGTGGAAATACATGTACCACAACGAATGCAGTCATTATGAATTGCAAATGTGTACTAATAAAAATTAAATAGAAAAAAGAATTCTACTAAATAAGTAAAAAAAGAATCTCTCACCCTTGACATCTCATCACCCTTATGATCTAAGCAAATTCTCCATCCCCTACTCTTGGTGCATGAGCCCTTGACCTGCTTTCAGCAGAAATCTTGTTAATTCTGTTTAGCAAGAACCCCCCTATTCTTGACGTCTGGATTTTCCAGCCACACACCCCACTCTTCACCTAACTCTTGTATTATCCCCAGTTTTCTATTCTGTACCTAGTCAGGGGAAAAGCCTGCTGCAGCGTTCTTACTGCAACAGTCCTAAATAAAATCCGAATAAACTTCCTTAACAAACTCCAATGAAAACAACAGGTTTTATAAGATTAATCTGTAACCGCTGTTCCTATAATCAGGTATAAGAGTAGATATATAGAGTAACTGTCCAATAAAAACACAAGGCTAATATTACTCATTGATAGAGTGCTTGCCTAGCAGAGGCTCTGGGTTCAATCCTCAGGACAACATAAAATACAAAATACTAGCCACATGTGCAACTTATTTTGCCAAGTTAGGGATGGAACCCAAGACATAAAACACGGTAGGCAACCAGTCTACCACTGAGCTACTGCCCAGCCCTAAATATCTTATTTTTAAATTTAAAATTAACGAATGTTCAGTTCCTTGCCCAGTTGCTCCAGCCAATTTCAAGTATTCAGTTGCCACGTGTACCTACTGGACAGCAGGGATCCACAGACTAGGCAGGTACTGTGCCTGTAGTCCCCAAACTCCTAAAATTTTCATAGAAATGCAAATTATGAGGCCTCATACGAGACCTCCTCAAAGAAAATCTATAGTTTAAAATCTCCCGATGGTTCATTCACGCTCACAGTAGAGATGGTGTTTTTGCAAAGTAACAATATGTGATAGGGGAACAAGGTGGGGGGGGGACAAAAAACAAAAGTGAAAATAGAGGGAAGACATGGAAACAAAGCTTTGTACATGGGGGAAAGGAGGGGGGATGGGGAAAAACAGGCGGGATGTATCATGTATGGTGCAAATTCCTACGATGAGTGTTATTATGTATAGCTAAAATGGACCAATAAATGTTTCGCTTCAAGAAAAATCAGTGGTAAAAACACTATTGTACTTTATATACACCAAAGGCAGACATTTCATCAATTTCAACACTCCAGGAAATGCTAGAATTAAAGGGGATCGATTCTGCTTGTAATCTCAGTGCAACGCTGTAAGTCTGAAACTCACATAGGTTGGTAAGAGGGGTGGCGTTTACCTGCATGTTCTTTTCTTCCATTTTATCTCCCAGTCTCCTTGAGACAAAGAACTCAGATATGTCCCTCAAGCTCTGTATCAGAAAATCAGGAGCGACTAGGCTGTAAATACAAAATTCCGTTTTCATAAAGAGAGACACCTGCTGGGCGTGAAACTAGGGGCGTGGCTCAGCTGAAGCGGGAGACCAGGGAGACCTGAGTTCGAGGCCAGCCTGAGCAACACATGAACCACCCACACCTCCCACCCTCTGTGAAGGAAACAGCAGCCCGGAAGGGAAGGGAGGGGGGCTTTCTCTCTTTTTACGTGTTAGTGTTACTTTTTAAGTCACAGTTTATCCTGAAAGTACTGTTTCAGACAGGTTCGGAAGCATAACTTTCCACTACCTCACACTTAGCCAAGTGCAACAGCCCCCTTTCTTTCTTTTTATTGCTATTACTTCAACTTGATACAAACCAAAAACCCCGCGTTCTGCCCATTTCACTGCTAAAACACCCAACATCATCCATATTGCTCTCCGTAACTCTTTTAAACGTCATCAACAGGAAACAGCGAGTGTTCTTCGCGCTGCAACATCGACCCGGTTCACTCACACTGACGACTCTAGATCGCGGTTCTGCGGCACAAAGGGGTTCAACGGACCGCAACTCAGCCTGAAGCGTGGGCAGCGCGTCAAGCAGCGGCTTCTAGCCGCTCCCAGGTCGGATCTCGAAGCGCGTTAGCGTCTCCCAAGGCAGCAGCCCCACCCCTGCGCACGCGGCGCGCCGAGGAGAGAGGCGGAGCGGCCTCTCACACTGACGACTCTAGATCGCGGTTCTGCGGCACAAAGGGGTTCAACGGACCGCAACTCAGCCTGAAGCGTGGGCAGCGCGTCAAGCAGCGGCTTCTAGCCGCTCCCAGGTCGGATCTCGAAGCGCGTTAGCGTCTCCCAAGGCAGCAGCCCCACCCCTGCGCACGCGGCGCGCCGAGGAGAGAGGCGGAGCGGCCTCTCC